GCATACGTCCGAGTGACGCAGTTCTCGCGTCCAATGCGTGAGCTTGGCTCGGCTGACGTCAGTTTGGCGCCGGTGACGCGCTTTTGAAACCGCGGATGTATCATAGTGAAAAAGTGGAGAGATGTCGAAGGCAAGAAGGTACAAAATAGTCCGCCATATTTTCAAATGCTCGTACCGAAAAGCTGGCTTTTGACTTTCTAGCCCCTTTCTTTTTGGCCAACTAAACGGTATGCGATTAGTGAAGTCCCAATTTAAAATCATTCATTCCAACCCAAAATTCGTTTCATGGCCCCTTTAATTTTCGCGAATTCCAGGTGCCTGATATAAAACTCTTAAAGACCAAAGTCTTCGCGTGCCTCTAAATTTCGCGAACTTTTCAATTTGCGAAATTCACAAAAATTTATATCTCGCGAAGCTGAAGTGTTTACATTATGTATTCATCCACATCCATGTATATTTTTTATTCTTACTCCAGTTTATTTTCTTGTATTAAAACGGTTCTTTAGGATTATCTATTTATTATTATCTAATCTATGCATTATGTATTTACTCAGATACTTTATGGTTCTCGAGATTGCGACAGGTCCCCAGTTGGGCCCGGCCCTTAGCCATAAGGTTTGGAGAACCCTGACTTAGAGAACCGTTGTAAGAAGAGACCGGCCTCTAGCGACGCGTTTCTAATTTCCTTTTTTTTTGTGTGTGTGTGTGGAGAGCTAATATATATGTAGGTGCATTTTAGATTAGATATATCTTACTCTGTCAACATGTACACGTTTCAAATGCGAAAAGCATCGCGTCTTCTCCCGACAACCAAATCTTGTAAGAACTACTTTCCTCGGCGTATAAACAATGCGCTAAACTTCCTTTTTCCTTGAGTTAAAAATGAGCACAGCTATAGCGTAGTCTTTCCAACAGTCTACGTGACAGGTGCATAAATTAAAGCAAATATTGTTAACACCATTCTTTTCAATAACTTGTCTGATAATGTTTTTTGTGTACGTGATTTTTTTATGTATGATATATTTATACGTGTGCGTGCAAACTGTCAATGATTTCATTTTAACGTTCCGCAAGGGGGTATGTAAGATCGGTTATCACTTTGTATTGTCATGAATAAGTATAATACAGAAGTGCTGATGTTCATGTTAGAAGGTTACAACCATTTTGAATATTTGAATTGTGCAAAAGCGTCTTAAAGTTTGCAGTGTTTTCACTACACTCATAAACGCTTGGGACACAATTTATTGTTACATCTCTCCTGTAGTGGACATTTTGAAATTTCCTCTTGGCACTCATCACTACTAACTATTCTCCCAGGTTTGGTCCCAATAGCTATAAAAATATATTTTTACAACTTTTCGCTAAGTACATTTTGTATATTTTGCATTTATTTAGGTTTCTTCATTATCGTGTTGTCATTATTTTAAAGGAACAATTGACTCTTTTGAGAACCCCACCAAGCAAAAAAAATGGCGGTGGCGATTTCTTACGCACGAAGAGTGTGGTTGGATCCGAGTCTTTGCCAAACATTGCCGCAGCGCGCAGTTTCGATAGAGCTGAGCCAAGTTCACGCTAAACGCCGACGTAGCCTTCCTTTCCGAAACGTGATTAGAGTACGTGCCCATGCAATGGCGGACTATGACAAGGGGCACAAGAGCTACAACATGGCGCCCAGCTTCGAGAAGGGTGTATTGCGGATCTGCAATTGGCGGACATGACTGATCAGGCATAAATGCCCTCTTCTGCTAGCGCCATGCAAGCCTTGTCCCTCTGAATAAAATAAATAAAATAAATAAAATGTCGAGTAACCAAGGAAAAAGAAAGAAAGACAGAAATTTGATAAATGTGGTGGCGTCGCACAACAGTGGAAAATTCGCTGATACTCTTAACGTAGCTTTTTATAAACCCTACTGGCAACTATCATGTCAGTTTAATTCTCTGGAACTGCAAGGAAAGTAAAAACAAAATACATAACTGAAAACAAATTTCACGAGAAGTGCATTTCTTCGTGCTTTCAACCTTCTCCCTCTGGAGTTGCTCGATCTCTTCGTGAACGAGCGATAAAGAACGGAAGGGTATCGAAGGAGAGAAGAATGATAACATACGCTGTAAGAATGACGTGCTCATGAACCTTGATCGATGCGAGTTTTATGGAGGTTGCTCTAGGCGCATATCAAACACAACGCAGGTAAATGAACCTCGATATTAAAAACAAACATGGTACCGTTGGAGACGAGGACGAAAGAGGAGACTCAGGAGGCTGACCTCAACTCTTTAATATTCAAGAATTGGGGAAGTATATACGCTGAGATCATAGCACCTTCAGCCAATCTCAGGACTCGGCCCCGCTCGCAAGAATGCAACCTCCTTATCTATTTGTACGATGAAGGCAACGCTGACGCAGCCTGCACCAGATCTTTCAAAAACGTGTGCTTCGATTATTTACCTTACGGTCTTATTCTTGTATCTGGCAAGAGCAGTGTACGTGTTTAACCAACATCTAGACTAAAAAGGCATCAAGTTTTATTTCTAAATGACCGAAGACAGGCCATCGGGGCCTCGCTAAAGCTCGAAGGAGTACGAAACCCGCGTAGATTTCCCGTCAAAGCAACAAGGAATTATTGATGCAAGCGTGTTTATTTCATTAAATGTCAACTGCTGTCAGCATTTGGGTTAGAAAGGTGATTTTCGTAGACTGGCAAATTATTGTTGCATAATATCATTGATGGAAAATGTCAGAACAGGGTAGTTGTATAACAAGGTCTAGAGATAGGGTTTACTTTAGAGCACGAAATTGTGAGTGATATAACTGTTCCCGTAAGATGAATTATTTTTGAAAAATACGTGCCCAAAATTACACGATAAAGAATAATTGAAAGCGGCATTACACATCACAGTACAAACACTGTTGACGCACTAAACGCATGCATTAACTGTATATTTCCTTGAAACTTACATAGCAGTGTATTTAGAAGCAAAAACGAGTGTTTCGAAGTTACGTTTGGCCTAGAGTCGTTATTTGTGCAAAGCGTTTACACAAGGATTTCACTTTATTCTGAAAGGGAGGTTATCTATTTTTGCAGCTAGACTTACCTGCAATCTTTTCACATATTTTCAATTCAACGTTCACAAAAAATAAAGGGTTTTATCGCCGTTTTTTCTGCGTCTGGTTTCGGTATATCATCTTTTCTGCCAAGGAATAGTGCGGAACAAAATTTGATTGTCTCGATTTTAACAATTACTATGGTATATTTTTACGACGGGAAACAAATCACTAATTGAAACGAGGGCGCTGAAGAAAATATTTTAAAATATAGTTAGTGGAGTATAGGAGTTTGTGCTTTCAGAGTTTATTTCCAGTGAAACTCGGAGGGCGTGTTTTGCAGTTTGTTTTTTGTTGCGAATTCGGCACTTATCGAAATTTATTTTTGGTTAGAATCTCAATTACATAAAACTTGGACACTAATTGTATTGTTTTCTCAATTGAAAATAAACACATAAATAGAGAAGATATAAAGTCCGGGTACGAACATACTTTAAATTTGTCAGAACTCACCTGTATCGAATACCCCTGCTGCTACATTTGGCATAGACGCACTTGCCATTGCCAATGCCAACTATCCCACGACAAATATCACAATGAGGTGTTGCCTCAATTACGACTTTGGAACTTTGGAACGACTACATTCCTGGAAGTAGTCACTAGGGAACATTGAAGCTGAACCTGCCCCCCCCCCCCCCTTTTAATTGAAATCTATGGGTTGATCGCTTTCACGTAATTAAAATACTACTCCTCCTTCCTTTAAGAATCAAGTATAATATGGTCAAAACAGAAAACGTCAACCATGGCTTTTGTTATAAACCAGAGATTTTCATCGAACGTTCACGAGCCTAAAGGTAAAGCCGTTTTTTCAGTAGTCTAAGATTTCAAAGAAAACTAAGCGGCCTCTTTTCAGGGCCATTGACCCTGTGCTCTTCTAAACTTTAGTTGTAAGACACGATCTTTTTTTGGCTATCGTCACCTTAAAATGCCGGGCTTTTCGGATAATTATTAATTGACAGATGTTTTATAGGCAAATGTTTTTTTTTCGGATTTTTCTGAAAAACACGAAACTCTAATTATTTGCATGCTGTATAGACCGGTCCAAAAAATTCTTCCTGACCGGTATCATTTTCAGTGTTCATGCGTATGGAGCGTGATTTGCTCGCTTTCCGAAGAGACAAGCATCCGCGTGCTGGGCTGAGGACATCGCACGCTGGGCTGATGACTCTAAATATCGGAATGGTGTATAGTAAACACCGGAACTGGAAGCTTCATTCTGTCATAGCATGAACGACAGTGACGTTGACTTTCACAGTCATTTCATTAGTGTACGAAGTCTCATGATGAAAGAATGAACCCGATTTCTTAGCTACCTCATTTGCGGAACTAGACTTCAGGTTGTCAGCACAGGGCGCGAGCGATCACTCAACAAAGTGCGATTGGAAGCTTTTTAGGACGTGGCTGTCTTCCGCTTCCTAATAGACACCAACAGCTTCAAGAAACAGACGGCGAGGCGAGTATTAAGCCTTTTACTCCTGAGCCAATCAAGTTGCAGCACTAGCCAATGAGAGCGCCGAAGATTTATTTAAGAAGTAAAAAAAGCAAATATTTGTAAATTCACATAAGAAACCACGCCCAACGTTTGTTAAGCTGCAGTTCGTAAGCTCTTACACAAATAGTTTCGAACCAAAGTAATGCTAATATTAGAAGTTCTTTGACCACTCAAGTGTTCCGATCGTGAAACCAAGCAATTTTGTTTTTGGAACCAACCCGGGGACGTCAGAATTGAAAACGGCAACCGCCACGCGAACGCTGTCTATCAGCTGCCGGAGATAAACGATACGAACGTGCTAGCCCAATCTCATAAAACGAAACGGACGCTTGTTTCAACACTAGCGTCAGGGCAATGAAAATCATAATTTCAGGCGGGCGCGAGAGAGAATAGAGGGGCACTTACCCAGAGAAAGCACCGCGAGGAGTTGAAAAATAAGTAGCTCGTTCGGCTTCATGTTTGAGATTAAGGCTAGCAAAACATTAGAAACTTGGACGTTTTAGTGCCGGCCACTACCTCTACGTCTGCCACTTATTGCTCGAGATAACTTGCCTCGCAAAACCACGTGGGCATTTCGTTTATCTGGATGAAACTCAGGTCAGGTATTGCGAAATGTTTTCTTATCGGCCGGGGTTCCGCGCCCTTTGTACCTCTGCTTCCGTTCGTGGAAGCATTTCTGTGACGATAAAAGCAAAACACAAAATTGATTTATATAGACGCATCTAACAAAAAAGTACCTGCCGCCGAATATGGTTTACAAACCGACGGATGGCGCCGTGTTCCTCATCCAGGCCTACGGTGCCTAGATTAAAGACAGGGTCCGTCCCAAATCATGGCAAGCGTTTGAAATTCAGAAAATATCCTTGGTGGTAAAAGTTTTGTGTAGCGATCGGGGAAAAAGCCGGAAACGTCTCGAGACATGGCAGGTCCTTCTTCAGTGCGTTAAAAACCTCAATAAACTTTGTTTTCTCTCCTCAATTTAAAATCGTCGCGCGCAAAAAAAGAAAAAAAGAAAAAAAACAATAGAGGTGCGAAAAACAATATTACCTCATGAAAAATATCTACTAAAGTTGTATCTCGCTTAATGGTTGGATGAAATTGAACTAATAAGGCAATGCGGAGCTGAAGTTGGTACGCTTTTTGCGCAGGGGTTGAAGTGATATTAGAATCCCGACTCTTATTGCTTGATAGAAAACAAATAGTTGGTAGAACTCAAGGCGTCAATGCTGAGGTCTACCCTCCATCCTTCCAATCAAAGCAATCAGAGCTCGGCTTCGTGCTGACGTCACCGCAACCTCTGAGCAAGAAGCAGACGGCATCGTCTCCGGATACACCTTACCATGTTAATAAAAAAAAACAAAAAAAAAAGGTTATTCAAGGTAAAATCAGTTTTGGGACATGTGGCTGGCGTGAAGCCAACATACCTTGTGTCATCTTATGGTGGTCATTTGTTAGAATATTCGCTCATGTCGTATCAAACGATTAAACGAGGAGAAAAAGAAACAAAATAACAGTGCGGCACCGATTGAAAGATCTTCAAGGAGGCGGTAAAGTTCCTTTATAAATATTAAAGCACTTCGGTCCTAGGGTATTAAATGATAGAATTAATTGCGATGCCTTATTTTTTCCGGTCTCTAATAGTTCTAAAGTAACCTTGAAATATGATAAAACTAAAATGAGAAACATCAATATGTTTCTCATTTTAGACGAAAAACGTGTCCGGGAACAAGTATAGAAATGTGAGTTTTATGTAGATTCATGCGTTTTTTACACTTCCAGTTTCTTCAATATGTTGAACTAGGCATTTGTTATATTGAATCAAATATATTGTATTTTATTTAAATACACTTAAACGCGTCGTTTATTTTCCAATTAAAGTTGTTTGCTGTAGTACAAATAGAGTAAGAAACAAGTCAATCCAAATATAAATTACAGATTTTATTATTAGATTTTGCGCAACCGAAGGGACCGTGCTACGTCCAATGGAGTCTCTAGGTTGTCTTAACATATTCATAAAATTACGTGGCCGCTTAATAGAGAAACGAGGCGGCTGTGGAACTACGGTTTGAAAATGTTTTATCGATGCGTAATATATTCATATGGCGTCGAAGGATTTGATTAATGTTTGGTAACTATGACTAATATAACAAAATGAGTATTAATTTATCATTACTCTCGTTGGTCTTCGTATTAAACTATCAACCCTAGGAATAGCACGGCGTTTTGGCCATGCTGTAATACGCCAAAACAACACGGACGAAAGCGAAGAGAGAACTGGACAGGACGCAGTGTAACTTTTAAGTGAATAGTTTATTTCGATGTCATACTCTTACAAATATAAGAACAGCCACACTTGGCAGAACATAAAGATATGGTCTAAAAACACACGACCCTCAAGTACCAGCGTCATTGGTTCTTTAGATAGTAGGATTCTTCGTCGGACAATGGCAAAGAGGGAGCGCTTACAGAAAAGTTGTCGTGGTGGGACTTACTGAGGAAGGCTTCGTAAATTTCTCCGGCCGTTTTCGATATTAAGTTAATTACTGACTGTATGGGACCCACACGATCAATAAAAGCGTCTCGTAGTGTTCTTTCCTGTCCTCCAAAGTACTCTTCCTCTAAACATAAATTTTTTTCATCTCAGGACTTGGCTGCACGTTATTCTTTTTATTTTATTTACAGGATGGCATCTTTTATAATGTAAGAACTAACGACTATATGTAGGCTGTCTATTTAAAGCCGTTTTAAATTGTTTTGTACAATCCTAAGTGTAACATCCATGCAGTATATTTCTGTGCCGCAGCACTGTTTGCGATATTAATAAATTCAAGAATTTTTTTCTTCTCTATTATTCCAACTGATAAATATATCGTCTAGAGAACGTTGTTAAAAAGTGTTTTTTTGTGAGAATTACTTTAGGCAACGTTCCTCTAAAGTCGTCATGTAAATGTCTGCATGAGATAGAGAAAAACGTGATCCCATCGCTGCGCTATAAATCTGTAAGTAGTGGGTACTCATAAATGTGCAATTATGGAGTTTCAATGTTAAATGCATGAAAATATTTAAAGCATTCTTACTCACAGCCAGGTCAGTGTCATCAGAGCTATATAGAACTCTTTGTACTCCTTCATATTGAGGTCTGTCTGTATAACGTGATTACGCCCATTGTTACTAGCAATACTTTGAAATAAATATAATTGCGCATCCCTAATTAAATTAAAAAAAACGGCATAAATCTTTCCTGTATGGGCTTTAGCCCAACGGGAAAGGTGTTAGCTGCATTAGTATTAATTTATTCGTATATATATATTCTGAATTGGTTCAAGTATTTGGTCATATTGCATAAATGATGAATATATTTTTGGGTTATTTGACTTGTGTGCCATCATTAATGTATAAACATGCCCGGGTCCAAAATTTTCTTGTAGGAGATATTTAAAGATATCCCTCCCTATGTGCTTCTTTTCTCGTAGACGTTTTAATTATTTCTTAATTGTCTCTTCGCTTCTCATAATATTTAGTATCATTCACTTGTCTATCTGCTTCCCCAAATGTAATCAACTGTATTAACTATACATATGCAACCTCCTTTAGCTGCTTGAACAACTATAATGTCTCTGTTATCTGTAAGGTGCTTTAGGCATAATCTTTCTTTCTATGTTACTGTAAACGACAAAATTTTCGCGAGGAACTAATTTTTGCGAATTTCGCGAATCACCTACAAATCGCGAAAAATACGTCCCGCGAACTATTCGGGCAAAATGTGAACGCTACGCAAGCTACACTCTATTCGCAGAAATTAGAGCCCGCGAATAATTTCAAATTTTCAGCTTTGGCCCGATTCGCGAAAATTTGAGCCCGCGATAGTTAAGTCGTTTACAGTATATTGTTTCTAGAGGTCTCTGTTGATTACACGCAGATATAACATATCGCTTGTATGTATTTGACGACATTTTGTTTTAGTACAGCTGCCTTTTCTTTACCTGGTGGAGGTACTCCCGTGAGAACCCAGCTTGAAAACATTGTATCGCCTCCGAGGTTTCTTTGTAGAAGTAGAGACACTTCGCCACCTTCGGCTCCCAGGGTACGCCGATGATCCAATGATATAAGTACGTATATACCTCCTAAAGCATACAGTGCCCATCGCGAAATGTTGTCGTCTGGGTCTCTGAATAAAAAAATAAACCATTTGTCTTTACCGTTAGAGCCACATGTAACAGATCAAATCCGCCACTCTTGAAGGTCAAAAAGAGATTTTAAACTTCAGTGGCGACTGCCAAAGAAACGTAGCGAAAAGTCCGTGTGACTTGCAGACTGCACTTGTATTGATCGGGGTATGGCCTGGGCTACCTACATCAAGATTGAAAAAAGAACCGTGTTGCACACGAAGTTTCTTTGGAGATAATGAATGGGCACTGTGTACCACGGTTGAAATAAGGTCCTCATCTTCTGCTTCCCCAAATGTCATGACGTAGCTTTCCTTTTTTCTTTTTTACACAGCTATGTGTCATATAATTAAACATCGCCGTGAGTCGAGGTGCTATTTGGCGGGAGAGCCCTGCGGGGTATATGCTTTGTGTCCAGCAGATAGCCGCTTGATATCCTGTAACAGGTTTTAAAAACCCGCGTTAGCACTGGCATCTCCATTCAAGGAATTTCTACCGACTGTACATGCCACGCGTTAAAGGGAAGCTACGGAGGTTCTTGAAAAGAATGAGTCTTATATTAATTCTACTGTATTTTTAGACCCTCAACCCGGATACCCAAACGATTTGCTAAGCAAGTATTGTTAAACGCGAAAAAATGCGAAAGACAGTCGCTGTACGTCACGTCATCGACGGACATTTTTGCTGCCCAAAGCCCGGGAGGCGGGGCTTCAGCCCTATTTTAAAATTGCTCTTATGGCTCTCCGGCGCGTCGCATTGAAACACAATTGTGATATCTGTTAGTCTAATGGCAAAATGAACGCAGTTCAAGTGTTTTTCCTCAAATGCAGAGCTGCCCTATCTCCCCTTTAAGCCAGTCGCTAAATAAACCGATGAAGAGCGCCGAGAGCGCAGATGCCATACCTTTCACGGGCAACTCAATGGCCCAGTCATTTGCCATGTTACAAACATTCCCACTGTGCACTTGCGTGCAGACATTGTACAGAGCACGCAGTCCATCAAAACAGAAAACAACACTTCAATCATACTTTTAAATGAAACGTTCTTTGGCTATGTTTTCGGCATTTAGTGAAGCCCAGATCAAGGTGAAGCCTGGATAAAAGCGTTGCCGCGAGGCTTGACACTGATTGATTTTGAAGGGGGGGGGGGGGGGGGGGGAGGGAGGGGAAGGGGGGTTGTTATCGCAGTAAAAAAAAGGTTGCATTAGGCAGGAATCAGGCCAAGGCCCTACATTGAATATATAAATATGAATCATAAGAGCGTCTTACGCGATCCTAATTTAATCATGCGCGTTTTGTCACTGCTAGCTTTGCGCCTGCTGCGCGAGTGGGAACTTTGGTGCGCCCCAGAGTTTGCCACGAGCATCAAGTCGTTCTAAAATTGATTGATA